AGATAGATATAGATATACATATATAGTCATTCAATTAATTCAAACAATTATTTTTAAACACATTGATAATTCAACAAGTTAGTTACAAACAAGGGAACATTCTTTTTAATTCTTTTTTTATCAACTTTACAATCAGAATAAATTAAGGAAAGTCAGCCCTTCTGGGCACATGCTACATCACAGTGGCTATTTCATGAAGAAAGTGTTTCAACATTACCTCTACTGGTTTCTGTTTCTTTTTCTTCTGTTTTTTAGACAGCCTAAGGGTAAATATAAATGAAAATGTCAGACAGTTGACTGTGTACAGATTCATTAAGTAAAAAGAAGACAATATTACAACAGTAAATTAAGCAGTAAACTATTAAGAACATTTAACATCATAAAGCATTAAAAGGAAACGAAAAATATTAACATTAAGAAATTATAACAATGGCTCAAATGAAATTGATAGCAATTAGCTGGTGAGTAAGTGCCTGGCTATAGAGCTGCTTTTAATGAAATCATAATAGAGCTGCTGCTGCTGCTATCAGCTGCCATCAAGTCAATCCCAACTTCTGGTAACAGCACATGTGTAGAGCAGAACTGCTCCGTGGGGTGTTCACAGCAACGACCTTTCACAAGCAGATCAATGATCACATATGCTGTAAAAATTAGCTATATCCAGTTAAACATTAATCCCTTAATGAGCAAATACTAACTGAAAAATATGAGTGTAACAGAATAATTTCCTTGGGATAAATCAGCACTTATCTGCAATTGCTAAGTAAGATAATTATAGACAGTAGCATTTAATGTATACTTTTGTTTTGGTGAATCTTCCACTTCCTCCTCAGAACTGGCATTCAATGTATTTTCATCAGTTGGAGATCCTGAAAATTTCTCTTCCTCCTCTTCCAACTGTTGTTTTAATAAGGCGACCATTTCACGATGCTTCTTTGATTTTTCATGATTCTTCATGCTGCAAGAGCAATTGCAAACAAGATGTGTTCCTCCATCTTGGATGATTAAGTCAACATCAACATTTTACCATTAACTAAACGTGGTGGCGTTGAAGGATAAGCAATGGACTATAAACCACGAGGTCAGCAGTTTGAGCCCACCAGCCACTCCAATGAAAAAGATGAGGCTTTCTGCTCCCTCAAAGATTAATAGCCTCAGGAACTCTATACAGGGTCATTATGAGTCAGGACCAACTCAATAGCACTTTAACAACAAGAAGCAACATCAAAAAGAGAAAACAACACAATCAGGATTTCTCAGACATTAGATACACCGGGAGCCTATGACCTCGATTGCTCTTCCCAAATCCCAGTATTCCTCCTTCCTTTTATCTATGATTTTCTTCCCTTTTTGGGGGGGCCAAGTTATCTGTTACTTTTATTTTCCAGTCCTTTGCAGGCCTTCTCCACTGTATCTTTTTAATCACTAAGTGCTTCCTGAGTCCTTACCATCCAGGAGTGCTGGGGCTTTCAGAGATCTGGGGAAACTGTCAGTTAAACATTTCTAACTCTAAAATACCCCATGGATTGGGAGGTGGTGGTGTGAGGGCTTGAAGCACAAGAATAATTTGCTTTTATCAACAGCTGCCTCTCCTGATCACCAAACATGTGAGTTCTGTCAAATCTCTCTTTCTTTGTGTCTAACACTCAACAATGTCTATTTCACTGCATTCATACGCAAATCTGCTGCACAAGACCTATTTAAGGTGTTCAAGAGCAAAGATGTCAGCAGTTTGAAGACTAAGTGATGCCTGACCCAAACCAGGGTATTCTCAGTAGCTTCATATGCATGTGAAAGTTGTACAATGAGTAAGGAAGACTGTAGAAGAATTGGTGCGATTGAGTAATGATGTTGGAGAAAAATATTACAGGTACATGAAATGCCAGAACAAACCTGTGTTGGTAAGAAGTACAACCACAATGCTCCTTAGAAGCCAAGATAGACTTAGTCTCTCTTACTTCGGACACGTTATCAGGAGGGATCAGTTCCTGGAGCAGAATATCATGTTTGGTAAAGTGAAGGGTCAGGAAAGAGGGAGATCCCCAACACAATAGACTGGCACCGTGGCAGCAGCAATGGGCTCAAGCATAGCAGCAATTATGAGGATGGCACAGGACTGGGTAGTGCTTCGTTCTGTTGTACATATGGTCACTATGGATGAGAA